ATAATTAGAGAAAAAGTTTTCACCTAAAAATCAAGAAAATACAAACTTTAAACAAAATTGTCTCAATATATAAAAAAAGAATTGATTGCTTAAACACCTACTTTTTTTTTTTTACATACCTTGAGAGCTATTTAATTCTTTAAATGGACAAGGCATTATCCAATTCAGCCAAGGAAGCTTCATATAATGATGACTCGCATATCTATAGTTCTTTAACAGATTTTAATTGTTCCTGGATAATGCAAGGAATTCTGAATGCTTTGTTTTGGAAATAAAAAAAAAGAAAGCAAGACACTCACTGCAGTTGGAATGTTCATCAGATTCATCTCCGCAGTCATTGGCATGGTTGCATAACCAGGATTTTAAAATACATCGGCAATTATTGCACTGAAACTCATTCTCTGCACACTGAGACGATAGCAAGCAACCTGGAAAAGAATTTTTTGAAAATATAAAAATCTAATGAAAATCTCAAAATAAAAATTTGGTACTATTTAAATTAGTTGGTCCCCCATAAAAAATATATGAGGAATTTGGGTGTGGGGAGATATTTTTTGTAGACTAGCATTCATTAGACCATCCCCTACCCACAACATTTATCGGAATTGAAAAATTATTTTAGAAAGGGGTCTTATTCATAATATAAATTGTTGTGGAGTTATTTCGCAGTGGAGGCTTGTATTTGTACTAAATCGGTCCTAAAATAGGTTCGACGTACAAAACATTAGGAACTTGATATAATAGGCATTACGCAGAGTAATCTTACTGTGGTCACTTTTGTATTCAACTGTCGACTACTGTTGTCCGACATCGACTGAACCTTGTTTCTCTTACTACTCCTACTTATATTAGGTGGGAGAGTCTATTAATTATAGAATAGGTGTGTTTCACCGTAACATAAATAGAATTTTAAATCGATCCCTGACTTTTTAGAGTGATCTGTATTTTCCATCTGAATTTTTGAGGTGAGGAATTGTCCTTACTTACAGGTTCCAATGGATAAATTGTCTAAATTGTGCAAAAAAAAATGAAAGTAACACTGACGCCTCATTTCAACAGATATACAGGGTGCGATGAATAAATTGTCGTCTAAATTACACGCGCGCGCGCGCGCACACACACACACACACACACACACACAAAAAAAAAAAATGAAAGTAACACTGACGCCTTATTTCAACAGATATACAGGGTGCAATGAATAAATTGTCGTCTAAGTGACGTCAAAATGAAAAGAACATTGACATCTCATTTTAACAGATATACAATGGTGCGATGGATAAATTGTCGTCTAAATGACACAAAAATGGAATTAACACATATATTTACCAAAATTACACAAAAATATCTTGAAATAGTAAGGAGAAAATTTATTCAATAAAATCATCATTGGCTTCAACAACGGCCACCAAACAATTTTGGAATCTCCTGCATCTCTTCTGGACAGTCTCTTTGTCTAAGTTGGTGAATGCTGCCATAATACTTGCCTTCAGTTCATCTTTGGTGTTACAAGGAGTTTTGAGGAGACTTGCTCAACTGTACCCTACACATAATAATCAAGGGGGTTGCAGTGTGGGGAGTTTGTTGGCCAGATGTAATGGGTGATGTGGTCATAGAAATTGTCTGATAGCCATGACTGGGTTCTCCTGCTTGTGTGGCATCATGCAGAGTCTTTTTGCCAGACATAGGATCTTTCAGCCGCCACCCTCTTGACCCAAGGCAGCACTACCTCCTCAAGGCACTTGATGTAGGCTTCAATGTCGAGTCTGAAGCACTCACCAAAAAATTTGGGAGTTCTTTTCTTATCAGAACAATCAAAGTTCTCTGAGCTGCCATACCTTCATAATCACCATTAGACTCATCCAACTCTTTCTGAGTCTTCTGTACTGTCCTCAGATTGACAGCCAAACACTCTGAAATGCTCATACTGGAGCTTTTGCTGTGAATGCCAAGCAGTGCACCATGCCATTTCCAAATTTCTAACAGTGTGAATAAAGTTATGATGCTATTTTTTTTCACAGATGGTGCCCAACTGACCCTACCATACTTTGCAGTCGACAAAATAAAAAAGAACGCATATGCATGAAATTAAAATTATAAAATGGTGACAATTTACCCATCGTACCCATACACGACTTACACTCAGACTATTCTCCTGATCCTTGTTGCTGTTATCACAACATTTCAGCCATTTCAGCTGTATATATAGATCTGGGTAACCTACAGGCGATTCTGAACTGAAACCTTTATTTAATCTATGGGGTAGACTGTCCTGGTCCCACTGCTTATGTCTAGGGATATCTCGTCTAGTTCTTATTTTTAGTAGCTTAGCTTGGCTATTTCCAACGAGTCCGATTACCCACTGACCAGCCCCAGGCTATGAAACAATAATGTAGTTGATTAAACTGGTGGTTCATGAATTTAGTGACATTTTAACTGCGAGTGTGTACTTGGACTCAGTGAAAATCAATCAAAGTAACCTACAAGTAATTCCAAACTGAACCCTTTATTTAACTTATGAGAGTGGAGCAAGAACAGTCTACCCCCATAGATTAGCTTGGGGTGAAATGATTAAAAAAAAAAAAAAAAAAAAACATCTATGAATTCGTTTTGTTCTCATTCCATCTTTGACGGCAAAATGATTAAATTTCAAATGAAAATTCTTTATCCATTTAAAAAAAAAAAAAAAAAAAATACATTTATTATTCTTTATTTCTTCTTGTCACAATAGTTGCCAGGTGCACAAAGGTCACCCCCACTTGGTTTTACAAGGTTCACCAAGATGCTGTTAGGTGGTACTGTTAAATGACTATAAAAACAGGACACTTCCTGTTTCCTCCTCTTTTTTATTCTTTCCTTTCATTATGCTGTTTTGACAACACCAATGCAGGATTTGTCCCCAAAATGGGGATATCCTTCCCCTGAACAAGTTAAATCTTTCAATAGGTATCCCAAACTATTTTTAATATCTCAAACCTTTTCATGTAGGCCTGTAGAGCTTGACAAAAAATAATAAATAGTACCAAATTTATCTAGCAACTAAGTTATGACCATTCAAGTTTCTGTCTTGAATGCGGTTGGGCCAGAAGACCATTTTAAGAATTTATATGTGAAGATGCTGGCTTTAAACAAGTGAAAAATCATTATAAATGTAATGTCATTAAGTCATAAAAGAAAGATAATCTTAATGGAATTAATAATTATTAGACAAGACCAGCCTAAATAGTGTGTGCGTGTGGGGGTGGATCACATTCCATCCTAAAAATAGTGCAAAAATAACACAGGAAGGTAAATTTGACAATTCATATAAATTTCAACTTTACAGTTAAGTCATTGAAACCTCTTAATATGTATCTTAGAGATTAAACTAAATTTTTTTCATGGGAATACATCAGTAAAACAACTCTTATTTCACCATGTAAATACAGGTAGAAGCAAAATTTGATGGTAGGCCAAAAATGGACAAAAAAATATACCTTCTTGAACCGGTGGGAGATAAAGTTTGAAACTTTACTCATTTTTGGATGAGGAATTAAAAAAAAAATAAACAGTTATTTTTTTCTATAATATTAAAACTTTTCTTTATAAATGTATTTGATTTTCATGAAAATTTTGTAAATTTATACAATTTTTGACTTGCCTAAAAAGGACAGAAAATTTGAAACTTGTTATACAAAAGGAATCAGTGGTCGATTTTTCAAACAAATACTTATTGTAAAACCTTAAAACTCAATTTTTCAATTAACAAAACAACAAAATTGAAATGAGTAAAAGTACATTTACTGGAACTGATAAAAAAGGCTTTCTTTAAACAGACCTACTGCACTTCCACTCTGTATGGTGATTTGCAGTCTGCCCTACCGCACTTCCTGTTCTTATGGGGATTTGCAGTCTAAATTTCTTTATAGGCTTCTATAATTAATATTTCTGGAACATTCCATATTCTACCATCACTTGAAACTGGCATTACACCTAAGTGCCATCTTAAGATAAAAGTTGATTCGACCTGAGCAATGTCACCCACCAAAGGACATCAGACACAATTGTTTCTTTTCTTGGTTCATTAGTTATATAAAGACACATGAAAATATCTACACTTTATTGAAATTTATTCTATTTCCTTTCACCTCTACTGACAATGGCAACCCGTCATTTATATGCATAAATTTTGTCTGTCACTGCATGTAGTCCAACTTGAAGCAATACTAAAGCACACAAAATATATATATCTTCAGACATTCTTGTTGCCTGAAGATGACAAGTGTGTGAAACCTGAGTAGCAACACAAGCTATCCTTCACTGAGTGTTGATGATATGAAATATTTTTTAAGATATCCTGTTTGTTTACCTTTTGTTTGCTGGTTGTTTACATTGTTTTACACATTCTAACATGTTTTTGTTTACAGCAATGATATATTTATATCAGTGGTGACTCCGGGGGTCGGGCTTGTTGGGATTAGCCCGAGTGAGTCAACATTCAAGTATATCTATTTTAAAGCAACAAAAATCTTTTGTAGTGCATCATTTTCATTCTTGAGTTCAGATGGATCCAAAATTAATTGTTTTAATTCCATGCCTCAAAATACTGACTGAAATAGATTTCAAAGATATTATTCATAATAAAGAAGAAAGAAAGAGAGTAAAAAAAAAAAGAATGAAATAAAATTAACATGGCTACTTGGGCTGTGTAGGTCTGAGCCTGATCAAAGCTGGAGACATAAGTTAATGGGCAATGTATTTCTTGCTTTAATTTTATAAATAACCTTTTAAAAATCGCTAATGACTTGTATGCCCCATTTTTCAAAGAACACATTTTTATTTAAACTTTTTGTTTTCAAATGTCGATTTTAAATATTTTAACTCTGCTGATATACAGAGTATATTAAAGCCTGATGTAGTCGAGCAGTCTGCTGTCTTGGTTCTAACTGCCTGACAAGGCTTTGCTGAAGGGCAGAGGCAGAGAGTTTGACAAGCAGAGCCAAGGCAGCAGACTGCCAAACATGGCTTTGCTGAAGGGCAGAGAGTTTGATAAGCAGAGTCAAGGCAGCAGACTGCCAAACAAGGCTTTGCTGAAGGGCAGAGAGTTTGATAAGCAGAGCCAAGGCAGCAGACTGCCAAACAAGGCTTTGCCGAAGGGCAGAGAGTTTGATAAGCAGAGACAAGGCAGCAGACTGCCAAACAAGGCTTTGCCGAAGGGCAGAGAGTTTGATAAGCAGAGACAAGGCAGCAGACTGCCAAACAAGGCTTTGCTGAAGGGCAGAGAGTTTGATAAGCAGAGCCAAGGCAGCAGACTGCCAAACAAGGCTTTGCCGAAGGGCAGAGAGTTTGATAAGCAGAGACAAGGCAGAAGACTGCCAAACAAGGCTTTGCTGAAGGGCAGAGAGTTTGATAAGCAGAGACAAGGCAGCAGACTGCCAAACAAGGCTTTGCTGAAGGGCAGAGAGTTTGATAAGCAGAGCCAAGGCAGCAGACTGCCAAACAAGGCTTTGCTGAAGGGCAGAGGCAGAGAGTTTGACAAGCAGCGCCAAGGCAGCAGACTGCCTGACAATTCTTTGCTGAAGGGCAGAGTCTCATCTGGGGAGGTAGACAGCTGTCGGACCACTTGTATATGGGGTCTATTGGGAATTTTTGTCCAGAATCAGAAAGACCCACATTAAGCTGGTCTAGTGTTACATTCTGGGTAAATACTGAGTATATTAAAGCTTACTGATAAGTGATATGTATTGTCTGGAACAATTCTACTACAAGAGTCCTCACTGATATATATATATCATATATATTATTAGCCGTAATAGTCACTGTTTACAAACTCACACCTCCTCCTCAGAGAGCTCAACCGAAATAAATTTTTCAGGAGCGTATATACTGACATCCACAGACAGTTTTGCTGTATCACAGCTCATCAGTATGGTTAGACATCCGGTTGCCTCTAGCTAGGATTGAAACACAGCTGAATTGGCATCAGTTGGAAATTCTACTCCTAAGCCATTGGCACATGGCAGGGATGAAGATGAATTTAAGTGTATTTATTTTTAGATAAACACACTGATGAGCTGTGATACAGCAAAACAGCCTGTCTATGAATGACAATATATATGCTCCTGAAAAATTTATTTCAGTTGAGCTCTCTGGGGAGGAAGTGTGAGTTTGTAAACAGTGACTATTACGGCTCATAATGCATGACTCTTCGGTAAAGTGAATCGAGTTCTCTCAGTCACTGTGTGTTTATCTAAAAATAAATACGCTTAAATTCACCTTCATCCCTGCTGTGCGCCAACGGGCTTAGGATTAGAATCTGATGCCAATTCAGCCAGGTTTCAATCCTAGCTAGAGGCAACCAGACGTCTAGCTACACTGCTGAGCTGTGATACAGTGAAACAGTGTTTGTGGATGACAATATATATTTTTTATATATATATATATATATATATATATATAGAGCTCATTCAGGATTGTCTCATTGTAAAGGTTAAATAGGTCTGGTGAGAAGAAATATCCTTGTCTTATGTCCCTTTCTGTTTTGTATATTTTCTGAATTCATTTTCTACTAGATTGTCCTTTCTGAAATAAATAAAGCTTACCTCGTAGTTCAAATAGTTCTTTATATCATATCTTATCAAACATTTTTGCATAATCCATTAAACAATACAACCTTCTGCATCTCTTTTTTTTATTTTTCAATTCACCCCATGCAAGGCAATAAAGTCACTAAGACACAAGGGGTTACTGGGTGTTAAGGAATTAAGAAACAGAAACATTTCTAATGTGTGAGAAGAGAAAGATTAATCAGGAGGACAGTAGATAACGATTGACACTGCATTTAAATTTTTGAAAATTAAAGTTGGCCAGAAAGCATGGAGCTGGAAGAGAGCACCACAAATGAGAAGTGTGGGAAAATAAACTGTTAGCATAGAATTTACAGTTACATCTAGCCATTTCAACTGTAAACTGACAAGACCTTGTTGCCAATCTAGTACTGCACTTAAATTCATCAAGTCTAGGTACCATAGTTAAGAGTTCATCCAAACAATTACCATGAAAGTGTTTACAGAAATGGAACAGGGAAACAGCTTTATGGTGGTGGGAAAGCGACTGAAGCTAAGCTGAGCATAAAAATTGCATTCCTTGTTCCAGTGTCTTTAACAAAACCATACTGCTCTTGTCCTATCATTGGATGTATGTTTTTCATTTTTTTTAAAATCCTTGGATGCATGTTTTTTTCAATTTTGACTGTAGTGTCACTGTCCTTCATATATTTGCTACAGGACATTGGTTTTATTGGAAAATCTGAATCTGCAGGTAATTGTATACATCAGGTGTGTCTTGACATCTTTCTTGATTAACAACCTGTCGTATCACATTTCAGGTAGAAGTAAATACTTATCTTTGTTAACATGAGAACTCTTTTGTTCTGTCGCAGACATGCATTACAAGGTTAAATTCATAGCTATTGCTAATGTCAGCCTTGTCCATTTCAAGGGATTATGGACCAACAGGATCTTCTTCATCTATGTGCCAAGATGTAGGCGATCATGGTTCTCCACAATTACCTGTCCTTTGTAGCTCTTAATAAATTTTGTCTTTCCATTATCTCTCCTAAACTTTCTTCCGCCAATCCATTTTCTCAAGCTCATTCTTCTTCTTCTATGTTGCCATGTCACTTCAGGACGTAGACAATCATGGCTCTCCACAATTTCCTTTCCTTTATAGCTCTTAATAAATTTTGTCTTTTTGTTATCTCTCCTAAACCTTGTTCTGCCATCCATATACTCAAGCTCATTCTTCTATGTACTATGTTCCTTCAGGATCTTGATGATCATGGCTCTCCACAATTTCCTCTACTTTATAGTTCATAATAAATTTTGTCTTTTTACTATCTCTCCTAAACCTTGTTCCACCATCCATTTACTCAAGCTCATTCTTTTTCTTCTATGTGCCGTGTCCAATCAGGACGTTGGCAATCATGGCTCTCCACAATTTCCCATCCTTTTTAGCTCTGTCTTTTCATTATTTCTTCTAAACCTTGTTCTGACATCCATTTATTCAAGCTTCCTTTCTAAACAAATGATGAAAGTGAATTTATACATTTTCTCTGTTCTTGAGAATTTACAACAAAAATAAACACTGTGTATTTATTACCTTATTTATAGGAATGGTTGGCAAAACATTGGCTAATTGCCAATTGATTCAAACTTTATAAAATGTTAAATAAGGATTTCCTTCTCATTGGTTTACAGATTTTAATAATTTAGTAAATGTTTATAAATTTATGAATAAAAAATTGCTTTCATATTTATTTCTTTATAAATGATAAATATTGTATTAATTTTAATACAATTGTATTAGTTTTTAGAATGTTGTAAATATAAAATTATTCTTGTACATAAAAAATCTAATAAATAAATAGCATTTAATAGTTTTGTTGTAAATTCTCAAGACCACCCCACCCCCACCGTGACAAAAAAAAGTATAAATTCACTTTCATCATATGTTTCGGGTTCATAACAATTCTAATCATTAATTTTTAAAAGAATAAATTTTGCCGAAGAATGAAGGTAGGTAAAATAAAAGCAGAGTCATGGGAAAAAAAACGTTCTTTTGATACTCCATTTTTTTTTTTTGTGGGCACAATTTTTTTGTCTATTTCTGAGATGAGGTATTATGTACACTATTTACATTATTCGGACTATTGTCCTCATCTTTGTTGCCATATTTATCATCCTTCAGTATCTGTCTATATTTCTGAGATGAGGTATTATGTACACTATTTACATTATTAGGACTATTGTCCTCATCTTTGTTGCCATATTTATCATCCTTCAGTATCTGTCTATATTTCTGAGATGAGGTATTATGTACACTATTTACAAACTATTGTCCTCATATTTGTCTTTTTATCAGTAGAAGCCTAGATGGTGGAATCCAAAAACAATCACAGTAATGAAAACTTGGGAATCCTAAATTTCAGGATTGTGGTTCTGGATCCGGCTCATAATGTTTTCAATTTGTTCACAGAGTCAGCCTGATTCCAAAATGGTATGATATGTTGTACTCTAGGAGTAAAGTTTAAAAAGTAAAGTGTGGCACAATGACTCAATGACATTCGAATTTATTATATAGATTAATTACTGAGGATATGTATGGTATATAAGTATTTATTAGCATGCATTGTTTGAAGAAATTTTAGGGCTGTTCTGGAGTGGGGATTTAACAGATAATCTGCCCTCTCCTATATTTTTAAATAACTGAAAAATTGTGAGGTCCACATAAAAACTCACTACAACAATACCATGGCTGTTCTTGCAGAAACGGGGTTTAGGGAGCTAGGCCTCCATCCCAATATTTTTTTAAAATATTATTAAGTTAACTATGGGGGTCTAGATAAAACTCCATTACAATACCAGGAGCATACTTTCTGGAGGGCGCTAGCACCCCCATACGGTTAAATAAAATTATTAACTAAAAAAAAAAAAAAAAATCATGGTTTCCAGTTCAGTTAAAGCCCTACTGCAACAATACCAGGGCCGTACATTCTGAAGGTGGAGGTGGGTAGGGGATAAATACCCCCTACACTATTTTTAAATAAATATTTTTTTAATTTCTAGTCTATTGTTTTCAAGCAAATAAAATCGATTTATCTAAGTTAAAAGCTAAGTTCTTGTATCTTTTCAAATTATTATTTTAAAAAAACAAAAAAGTAAATTAAGTTTTACAGCTATTTCTTTTTAAAGAAGAAAACAAAAACAAAAACTATATAGCCTCAATTTTATTTTAAAAAATTGAGAGGAACGGCCCTAAACCCAATTTTCAATCGACTTTTATTTCAGTTACCTAATTTTCCTACCTTGTCAAAATTACCGAATTTCCCGTTACCGAATCTTGCGGGTACGGGGTACCGTTCGAGGAATAGACCATAATTCTCTCTAACAGAACTCTAAACGAATATTTCTTAGACGCATAATCTTCAAACCAGTGTTCCTTAGACCAATATTTTGTTGCTTAGACAAATATTCTAGATCCCTTTTAGGACTGTCCCAGGTAACGCTAAAAAAGTGGTATACCCTGGAGAAAAAAGGTCCCCAAATGGATAAAAAAAAATTGTCCTTGTCTCAGACATGATGTCTGAGACAAGGACAAGGATTTGGAAGACTGACATATTCAGATATTTTTTCGTGCTCAGTTCTTTGAAAAATGATTAAACAATTAAAATAAAAATCTTTCTTGAAGTTTTAATTCCAAGTTAATAGTTTCCCAGTGAGCAAAATATTTTGGCGTATTTCCAACCAAATTTAGAAATTGACTGAACTGAAATCATTTTTTTTCTTTCTTTCTTCAGTAACATGTCAATATTCGTCCATATTGAAAGATCCCCACCAACTCAACTCAAAAAGAAAATCTTTCAAAAATAAAACATACTTTTCTGAAACATTATTTGAAAAAAAATAGCTGATTTAAAGTTTAATTAATCTGATTTAAAACAAATATTACTTACGTTTAGCTTAAAATACAGTAGAAAGCATTTTTAACATGCAGGAGTTGTCTTTCTGACAGGTTGAAAGATTTAAACATGCTGATGATTGCG